AATCAATTTATCGATATATTTATCAACTAAAACACATATATATAAGTAGGTTTCATTATTTGATATGGAGCTCACCTAACATTATGTAAGTGATATATTTAATGTTAAGTTTATTATAGTATTTTTAACATTATTGGTGCCTGAGTAGTACCATTTTCCTTTCAATGCAATGGATCAGCATCTCTGTAATTTGCTTCTATTAAGAGCATTATTGCATGGTCCACCAAAGATTTTATAATTTAGTACGTACAACTGGCAAATAGGATGGTTATTGACAGGCACATATTTGAAAAAGTACACTGGCATCCATTGAATGATTGCTTTCTTGGTAACCAGCCGTATAAATATTTAGGGGTCGTTTGGAATGATTTAAATAATTATATTTTTTGATTTTTTATGAAATATGAGTTGAGTATGAGTTGTGTTTGAAGTGATGTAATAGAAAAGTGATGTGATTTAAATAAGATGATATAACTTAAATAGGACAGTGACTTGTTGACTTTTTTAGGTTATGACAAGCAAGGCCTTAATCTACTTTAGGCTTCGTTTGGAATATATATTTGGGCTAAAATAATTATATAGGATTTATTAATTATTTTAGTTAAATAAGACAAAATATCACATCTAATTGATAATCATTTTATTTTTTTTCTCACAAAAGTAAAAAAAATCAAAAAATTTATTCCAAACAAGACTTTTTAACCTCAAGTTAAAATGATCAAATAGTCAAAAAATCAAAAAATCAACCCACATCTCAAACAAATCATTATTAACATACATTTCATGCATTAGTACCCAAAATTTAGTGGCATCTCAGTGAATTTGGAGCCCTCTCATGGTAGAAAATTTCGCACTAAATATATGTCATCTCTTGATTTAAAATAATAACATGATTTATTTTAGATTATGGAGTGAGATACTTATATATGACTTGAAAAAAAATTAACACAGTAAGCTCTCCTAGGCAAAATATATCATCACAACAATCAATTAAACTTTGAATTTATAGAATTTCACCCTAGAGTTGACTGTGTAAAGTAATTAGTCATATGCATTAATTCAACGCCCTAGAGAATTTGGACGGATCTAAACCTTAATTACATATGGATTTCATGTGGGATGAGAGTGAGCTTTACATGATCAATTAAAATCATATTTTGCTTACACATGTCTTTCTGTTTAAATTCCTAATAGGAGTTGGCTAGACCTAATTGAAGCCAATGGCCTAGTTGCATTGCCCCTGACATTTTCATATGGGAGGTTTGGGATTCAAGCCCTGGAAAACGTATAGGTATTTGAGTGGGTTTGGGAGGATGGGGTATTAGGGGTGTTTGAAAGATTTCGCTCATCAAAAACATGACTAGACCTAATTGAAATCGATTAGAAGGTGTACAGTCCAACATGTAACATTTATGTTGTGTTTGGTTGGAAGATTTGAGGAGAAATTTGAAAAGGAAAATGGAAAAGATAGGTGAAACGTGAATAAAAATGCTTATATTTCACATAGTTTTACACACCTTTTCCCTTTCCCTTTCCAAATCCCTTCCTAAATCCTCCAACCAAACACAGTATTAAAATTATAAATGACTCATTTTTGTTCTTGTTTTAGAGTTAATTACACTTAAACTCTTCAACTATTAACGAATATCGCTTTATCTTTTCATTCATTTATAAATTTATACATATTGATTTGGAATTGGGGTGGCTGCTGTGTGGGGTGCACAGCAGTCACTGTTGTGCAGCCAATTGGGCTCTTTTCGGGACCCATTTTGATAATCCGAACTGTTCACATTTTAGAATACATCAAGTAGAACATACCTGTAAAAATTAAGTTAATCGGATATCGTTTACCCATTCATCCACTCACAATTGTATCTACAAAAATAAATAACAATTGTAATTTAAAGTATTAAAATGTATCTACAAAAATAAATAACAATTGTAATTTAAAGTATAAAAATAAATATAAATGTGAGTGGATGAATGGGTAAACGATATCCGATTAACTTGATTTTTTACAAGTATGTTCTACTTGATGTATTCTAAAATATGAACGGTTCGGATTATCAAAATAGGCTCCGAAAAGGGCCCAATTAGCTGCACAACAATGGCTGCTGTGCACCCCCGCACAACAGCCACCCCAATTCCTATTGATTTCCTTATAAAAAGTGTACAAATAAACCAAGTTGAAGATGATATAAAAGCGAGAAAGTGATATATTTTTATAATCGAAGAGGGTAAGTTAATATTTTGGAGAAGTCTTTGGTGTGATTATAAAAATAAAAATAAAAATAAAAATTCTGGCCCACTATTTAATAATTATATAGTTGGGTGGTTATTTTCATGATAGGGATATTAAAGGGCATAAGTTAATGGGCTGTGGGACCCTTTTGGGCCTACCTAAACTTAAATGAATTTAAACAGAACCACAGAGCTATTAGTTGGGCTTTTCACTAATCGAGTGGGCTTTGCAGTACCATCATAACAATTATGCACGAACATTTAGGCGTCCTATGATCTGTCCATTTGTCCTATGATCCGATCCTTCTGCTAAAATCTTAATTTCATTGTGCCCCACTTAAATAAAATCATACGGTAGAAAGTATTCTATGATTGAAGATCTATGGTACGTGCGTAGACCGTAGCACATCATCGTATACGAATGCAATATGGCTCAATTTTATTGGATGGGATTAGCTGTTTCTGTAGTGGGGCCGAATTGATAGATCTGCGTTTGGGCCCACTTATTGTCATTTAAAACAGGGCCGTTCAAGGCCCATTACATGCATCCACGAAAGGTGCTCACTTCTCTTTGCTCCATGAATGGACAGTGATACCTCACGAGGTTGAAACTTGTAATCAATTATGGACATTGTGAACTCAAATTTTAAAGTAGGAGTATTTTGTTATTTTAATTACCCAAAAATTTTTTTTTTTTGATATTTTGTATTTGTGATTCATTAATTTAATTTTTATATATTTATAGTTGAGTGAGAGACGATTATACCTATACTTTTTTTTTTTTTTTTTTTTTATCTTTATGATGATGTTAATGAAAAAACTGCAATAGCCAATAGTTAGGACTAAAAAGAGCCAGATCGAGTTGAGCAATAGGTTGTTCAAATTTAGTTTGATAACTTAATAAGGTTTAAATTATATTCAAGTTTGGAGTTAATTTCGAATAAGCTTTTAACGAGCCCAACATAAGTTCAGATCAAGTAGCTTTATTTTTGTAGCATGCTTATCGAGTTGAGTAGTAACTTGTTTAAACTTATCTCGAACAAGTTTGTAATGAGCCGAAAGTGATCTTATTTGTCCAATTACCTATTTTTAAAAGTCAAAACAATTTGTTTAGAACCTACTTGATAAGATCTATCAAATAAGATCACAATTGAATATCAAAATCACTTATAATGAAAAAAAAAAAAAAGAATATAGAAATGATGTAAAATGAAAAAATAAAAAGGAAAAAATTTCACACTTTTGTAAATTTCACCTTCAAAAGTTATTTAGCTTGAGTTTTCTCACTTTCACTGAAATTTTAAACTTCCAAAATTGTGTAGTGTTTTAGTTTTAAGTAGTGGTAAAACTGTTATTGAATTTGTAAATTTTTGAGTTTCAAGTTTCTAGCTAAACTTGTCTTTGTCACTTTAAAATTGAGTAATCGAGTAATTAAAATTGAGTAATTTATGAGTTTTAATCACTTGAAAGAGTGGTGGTTGAAGGTATGAAAATGTGAAATTTAGCACTTTTTTAGCCCATAAAATGTGTTTCACATTTTTGAGTACTAAAATTTCACACTTTGTGTCCAAAACGTGTGAAACTTTACACTTCACAAAAATAAATACCATAAAAATCACAATGATAGCATATGCTTAACATATTTTACATACCACTGGTTCTTAGAAAAATAAATATATACATAAAATGGAAAAAAGAAATAATATGGAGTTCAAAAAATTCTAAGCGAAAATCGTGTCAAATCTCCAAAACTACATCTATATGCAAGCTAATTCTGTATACAAAATGTATGTATGTAATATGTAATCTCTTAGGCTGTGTTTGGTTAGAAAATTTGAGGAGGGATTTGGAAAGGGAAAGAGAAAAGTTAGGTGAAATGTGAATAAAATATACTTACATTTCACCTAGTTTTACACACCTTTTTCCTTTCCTTTTCCAAATCCCTCTCCAAATCTCTCAACCAAACACAGCATTAGAGTTGAAACTGTGGATAGACAAATGTAAATTGGACATCTAAACAGCTCTCAATGAAGTGTTGGAGATAGAAAATGTGGAATTTTGAATCAATTTTGCCATACCCAATGAAAACATAAAATGGAGTTGGCAAAAATGATGGTGGTAGTGGAGAAGACAACCAAAATGATTATAATTAGTGACAATAATAAAGTTAGCAAAACAATTAATGACCTCAAAGAAGACGAAGACGAGCTCCACTAAGGCGGAGAATTACTTGACATATATACATAATATAATCTAGTATAATAAGTGGAGTTTATATATCACATATTCATTCTCCTACATCTTTACACTTGGCCATTTAGGATTTACTTGAAAATCAAGTAGACTCTATCGATCTTGTATTTGTGTAATGTAAGAAAATAAGGGAAAAAAAGAGAGTAAAAACTTATACAGTATATATATATATATATTTTTTTTTTTTCCTTTTCTTTTTGCACTCCATTCAATAATTAATATCCAAACACAGTAGCAGAAAATGCAATAATTCGACACACTAAGATTATACATTTGCAAAAAGTGCATATCAAATTTGCAAACCCTAGCAACAGTTTTTTGCCATTGAGAACAGCAAGACATGAATTTTGAAAGTAGAGAATTTGTGCCCATAATGGTGTGTCGTTCAAATTTTTTCTTTTCTTTTCTTTTCTTTTCTTTTTTGTGCCAAAAAGAAGAGCAAGTGTTCAACACTTTTTTTGGGTCATCCAAAATCCAAATGAAGAGCGAGCATTCAACACTCTAAATTTGCAAAAGGTGCATAGCAAAATTTGCAAAACACCAAGCAATATTTTTTGTTGCTGATTCATTTCATGAGGTAAAATTGTTGGCAAAACAGATCAAAATATAAGCATGTAAAGCTTCAACACAAAGCTCTCTCAATGGAGTTACTTAATAGTTAGAAACCACTACTACAATCACCCTTTCCTGCTTTTGCCTTGCCAATCTCCACAAGCAGACTAAGCAAAGCCTCACACATTTCACAACAATCAACCTCATTTGGATCCTTCCTCCATGAAGAGTAAACCATCCAAGCATGATCAAGCTTTCGGTCTGGTCTCACTACCACCGATCCTGGAACTTCAGCATCGCGACTCGTCACCAATCCATCACTCTTCTCCCCGTACCTTAGTTTTAGGTGGAGTGCGCACACAGCCATCACGGCAGAAACTGGAATCACAACGGGGACCGTGCGACCCGCTTGGGCTTCGTTGGACTCCCCACCGCTAAAGTTGGGAAGAGGAAGCCATGGGAGTTCGGCATGTGCTATGTGGGACATTGTGGCAAGGACTCCGGGCCCCACGCTCGCTTCAGAGTGGAAGGAAATGAGAGGGATGTCGTCAGGGAGCTTGTGCTTTGATATGAACTCCTTTCGCTTCTCATATGTCAGATCCTCCAACGCCCGTATGTCACCCTACCAATTCAATTATATATATATATTTTTAATCTTCATGAGAACATGAACAATGAGAAAGAATTGAAAAAAAGGTGCGCACAGTTTATTTTGTAATGTCGTGATGTGGTAACTCTTTTAAGGCGAAATGAAATTGTTTATATTTGCTAAAATGATAGTTACCAACATAAGAGGCAGAGATGCAAAACAGAACAGATAGGGAAAGCAAGAAATTCAGAAAGAACAGGAAATTAAAAAAACTAATGCAAACAGAACCTCAAAACAAAGCAATTTCTGAAATATGTTCACAGAGCGTAGTGTAACTAATTGGGTAACATACAAGGAAAAGCATATAAGGAACACCGGGAACTTTTTCCTTTGAAGATTGAAAAACAAATACGGATATAGGTTAATGAGTCAAACAGCTTACTATATCGACAACAGATCAAATAAAAGTAATTCCTCAATATATGGGAGTTATACCTACACAAATTACATACCTAATGTTGTAGCCAAATCTAAACAAAACCACCAAACAAATAGTTTTATATATTTATTATATGTTATATAAAAATACATCATTCAAAGATAATAAAAGTATACAGCATATGTCACGACCCAACCCCAGGGGCTTACGGTTGGAATCACAACTTACTAACTTATTCTATTCGTAGCAAATTAAACTGCGCAAGCGGAAACAAAAATAATTAAATAGGAAATTACTTCATTTTATTATTTTAATAAGAGAAAATATATTTATAGGGCTTTTATTATTTTATTATTCAGTGACTGGCCCTGAGTAGGACAAAAGGGTGCAAAAATATAAAAAAAAAGAAAAGAAAAGGAAGAAAGATAAAAAAAAGTGGTTCAACATCAATTCACATACGGGTTCCATTTCGTGAGGTTATGGGTTTCCCCTACATCTTGTCACCTGAAAGGGTAACAGCTATAAGCACACAACAGAGTAAGAAATATTATGCCAAGAGTATAGGGAATACAAAATAACCATGGATAGTTAGTTAAGCTAAAACATTTACATAACTCAATTTGGTAAATAAATCATTTAAGTAGCAGAAACTGAAATATAGAAATTATGTAAATAGTTAACCATAACCACGGTACAGAACAAAACAAAACAAAGGTCACAGAAGTGACAATCAGAACAGAAGTCAATAGATCCATGACAAACAGAAAACCATAAAGTGGCCAAACAGAGACCAATGGTTATTTAACTATCCCAAGGCGTGGGACTCCTGTGGTGGTACTTACAAAACCTAATTGTTTATAAAGTTATAATCAAATATTCTTTAAAATTTAAACAAATCAATGGGTTTCATTTAAACAAATAGAGTTTAGAAATTAATCCGCGTAACTAAAATATTTCTAAAACATAACTTGAATTAATATAACTTATAAAATATAACTTGTATAAAATAAATTATGGTAAGTCAAAACATACATAAAATATATTATGGTAACTCAAGGTATAATATAACTCACCTTAAGATTGAGTTTTACTATTTCCTTTCTATTGTTCCTATCTTTTCGAAACTGCTCTTCCTCCTTTCGGTCTCTCTTTATTTCACTCTCCTATGATGCCTACATAGGGTGATTCATGCTTCCTAAAGCTAGATGATACAGGTGGCAATTAACTATCTCTCCTGAAAGATTATAATCTAAGATTATAATCTATTAATTAATAACGAAAACTGATTGGCCTTATCTCATATGGGCTTATTAATATTACTATTTATTTACAATCTTTAACTCTAATTTAGCCCAACTAGCATTATAGTTTTGTATGTGTTAATTTAGCCTCAAATAATAATCTCTAATTAATCTCATATTTGATAACCCAATGCCAAATTAGATTTATATATTTATTTATTTATTATTATTTATTTATTTAATAATATATCATCACATACAACCATAATTATATTTAACTATAAATATTTATGTGGTATTTGATTCGTTTAATTATATTTATACATGTTAATCTTTTTACATTAATTAGTGATTAACTTAGTCCTAAATAAATTTCCTCATCACATATTTGATAACCACAATGACAAATTAATTTACATAACATGTATAGCTTATTTATTTTATTACTTCCATTATTATTATTCTTATTATTATTATTAAATTTTACTTTATCGCATACAATCACAAAATTAATTCTTTTATTTTACTATTATAGATTATTATTATTTTTTTTATTAATAATCGTGATTGGTTGTGGTATTAATTAAATATTTTGGGGTGTCACAGCATAACACCAATTTTTGTAAATCTATATTATTTTTCTTTTATCATTATATCGTAAGTTAGTTTGTTCCAGCTTATACTTAGGGCTGTTTTGGAAACTTGGCTAAATGTCAATTTTTGTCTTTTAACTTATTTTGGATCACATCACCTTTCTACTTTTTTATACGTTTTTTAAAAAAAAGCCAAAAAATCAACTTTTAACAAACTTCCCAAAAATTTCATATGTATCTAAGCGATAGACATGTGATCCTCCAAATGTCCAAAGGATGTTGGCGTCTAAAAACAAAAAATTTTAAAATAATAGAACACATTTGGATAAGTGTCTAACGAGTTGTTTAGCTTGCATATTAAAAGCTCTTTAAGTAGAAGAGCGGACTACCTTAATTAGCTTGCATATTAAAAGCTCCATGATCCTCCGGGTTTCTTTGTCAGCAATTTGACCTTCACGAAGAATATCCGAAGCTAATGGTGTGCCACCATATGGGCTCTGAACTAATGCCAAGCCAGCAACTTTGTCCTTTAAATCACCCCAATATATTGACAATGCAGCAGCAGCATCAACTCCACCCTTGCTATGCCCTAGCAGCATCACGCGTTTGCCAGACCCCCAGTACAGCTCCTCGACGTATTGCTTCAGTTCCCACGCATTGTGCTCCACAGATGCCTTCACGAAAAGTACTAACATTCAAAAAACAAAAAATGACAATTGTATAGTTTACATGACAGACAGAATAAGAAAAACAAATACGAAAAGCGTACTTCTATTTACACCACAAAAACAACTCTATACACCCCTCATTTTTCATTTTTTTTAATTGCAATTTTCTCCCTATCTAAAAGTATCAAAAACTACTCAAACGATAAAAATTCAAAACCCTAATATCTCCTTCCACCCACCCTCTTCTCCCCATCATCTCCATTAGCCACCACCACTGCTGCTCACTACCTATGTTACATATGGACTCTTAACAATAAATAAAATACTGAGGTTGGACACTCAACATTAGACAAGGGTATGGGTTATGTGTCCAATACTTTCCATTGCACACTTCTTATATATTTGTACTTAACACTATCATTATATTTATATGTTGTTGTATAATTGCTATAAAATTAGAAAAATGCTTTTTTGACACTATGGCCTCGTTTGGGAAGTTGACTATTTTAGTAGACTAAAATATTTAAGATGGTTGGATTTTTTTGTAGTTAGATGTGATGTTTGTGAGAGAAAAAGTGAAATGATTATGGGTTTGATGTGACATTTTGTCTTATTCACTATTTTAGCCTATTTTTGACTTTTTGTGGATTTTAACCCAAAAAGCAAAAAAAAAACAAGCTTTGCCAGCAAAAAGAAAAGCTTTGCCAAACAAGGCCTATATGTTACATATAACATTATTTTGTCTAACATAATAGATTAAATATAGAAATATAACCCTTTTTTTTCTCCAAGTTCGCATATCCTTTAATTTCAGTTTTGATGAGTTCGACCTCTAAGATACACATCCTCTAAGACCCACACCCACCCAACATCTATACCAAGTTCATGTAACATAGCTCACTACCCAAATCCATCTTCTTCTTCCCTTCAAACACTATATCTCTCTGCAGGGGGGTGGTCTTAGGGTTGGCAGAGGGTTGCATGTTGGTGGTCACAGGGGTGGGAGAGGACTGCAGGATGGTGATCGGAGGTGGAGGTGGTAACTATGGTGGTCGGAGACGGTGGTTGGGGTGGGTGTAGAGTTAGGGTTTTGAAAGGTTCGAGAGGTGCAAAGAGCAGATGGTAGGTTACGAATGAGGGTTTGGTTGGAATTATTGGGGATGTACGGAGATAAAATAAAAATTTTCAATTTTTCAAGGAGGTGCAATTAGAAAGCGGGGTGTAAAGAGTTACTTTCGTTGGGAAAATAGAAGCTCCCATAGAAAAAATCATTATTTGAAGAAAAAAATTACAACGGCAAAATGATCATTGTCAGGTAAGAAGTAGTTTAATGTTTCCAAGCCTTTTTTAGTACAAAAATTTACAAGAAATGATTTACATACCTCACTGTGGATTTTTGCAATATGGCAAGCTAGACCCATCTTTGAAAAAAACCGCTTAGTGCTCACAAAGTATAAGGGACCATGATTGCTAAAAAGTCCTGGCATATCACATCATTCATTGCTTTATCACTACAACAGATGTCAATGGACAAAGAGAAACAAAATCAGAAGGGAAGGCCAAAAATATTTCACCAGGAATCAGAAGATAAACAAATGAACTGGGCAGATTGTGCTCTCCATTCCTGAGAAGCAAAAAAGTAAAAATAAAAATTTAAATAGATATGATCCATACAAACTGAGATGTGTGATGAAAACGGGCTCCAATAATCTGAACAATCCTATCAAACAGAAATCAAAACAGAATCTTAAGATGAAACCAATCTAAATTTGGTACCTTACACGTTCTAGTAGTTCCAGGAATCTATCTGAACCATCCTCCACAGGAGCCATTCCGGGAGTGTGTTGCAGCCAGCCAATATCATCAGAAGAACCGTGCAAAGTTTTCCTAACTCGAGAGATGACACTGAAGATGCAAGAATGAGAATTAATGTTCTATCGAATCCAAACCACCTTATCAGAAATTTAAAACATAGTACTCATAAGATGTATGATATTGAGAGGATGTCAACTCCTTCAATTAAATCAGACAGACAACACATATGGACTGTTCTTTAATAACTGAACAGAGCATTAAGTATGCCCTTTACCTGCGAACTTGAACTTGAGTGCATCTAACATAGCAGAAAGAAATTTTCCAAGAGGCTGATGCTAGCCTCCAGGCAAGTCTCAAACCAAAAAATGGGAGCATCAACCTACGAGCATATGAACAGATAGTAAGATAAAGCAAATAATAGGGCATAAGAATAGGAATATATAATATATCACATGCTGTGCAACCCACATGTATCTTAGAGAAATAATGAAAAATATCAAAGGCTGCAACACCATTATATTCATATTACCAAATAATGTACCCTACACCATGTTCATAGTTTACGTACTGGAGGATCCACATATGCACAACACACCCATGCACGCAATTACAAGTTCCACATAATCAAGATCAATATGATATGATTAATTGATAAATACATCAACTAGAAAAACAAGAAAAAAGAACAAAGAACAAAAAAGTCAGATTAGCTTTAGAAATCTATCCATCCCTCAATGTTCCTGTTTGGTGCAACTTCTAGTAAGCTGAAAATTGATAATCTGAAATCAAAAGCTAAAAGTACCTCTCCCCCCGGTTTTCCAATAATAAGTTTTTTCCAATTTATTTAAGCTACCTTATAAGATGTAATGTAAGTAAAAGTGCACCGAACACTCTGGCACATATTTTCAAAATATATACTCCATAAAAAAAGGCTACAAGCAGTTCCACATGCTGCACCAAACATCCCCATTCTACTTAAAGAGTATGGGCACATCGTAAAGATCATACCAGATCAAGAGTGAATACTGTATCTTGATTCTATTCATATAAAACATTGCAGAATGATTATCATTTAGTAACAAAACAAAGCTGAATAAAAGGAGGGAGTATTGATACCCTTGAAAAATGAAGGGGATGGCTCGAATAGTGATATTGCTTTCTACAATTTCAAATCTTGAATTTACAAGTAACCTATTAGTGAGATCTGATGCTATTTCTTCAAGGATTCCAACGCTTGTACCCGCACTGCAAGGACGTGAAGAAGACAAACAACCATTGGAAAGAAATCTACAATTGCTGCAACTTGAAGATCTTGAATGTTGTCCAGAAGATATGTCCCTCAAATCTTCAGAGCATCTATTAATGTCTCTGTAGAGAAGTTGCTCTGCAGTGACATTGAGCCATGTCCAGCAATTATAAAAGGAAATTCAGTGGACGGTTATAGGGGCCCATTGTAAGGATGCATATAAGTGACATCATATCTAAAACTTAAAATAAGTGAAATGAAGAACTCACCAATAAAACAAATGAATCGGCCACGTATATTAGAACTCAAGGTCAAAAGACGGGAAAAAATGTCATCCATTGATGAGTAAAAACCAAGATGATTAGAAAGAAGGCCTTCGTTCCTCAAAGCATTATAGCAGACCTGATAAGACGGCCTATCTTAGACTTCGAAAATCACACTTCCAAATCAAACTGAAATTACTATAAATCAAGTCAAGAAGTGCTAATTAATAAGGACTACCCCATACCTAACCTTTCATGAGTTAAATCGTTGAAGACACAAAATTTAAGATACCACCGATTTTATTTTTTTAATGTCAAGAGATACCATAGTTCAAATCATCAAAATCTACCTCAATCTATACAATGATTGATGCAAAATCAAACATTATCTAGTACTCACAGGTGTAGTGATATTAGAGACTTCACCATATCTTCCATTAGCGCTTCCAGCCCTGAAAAAATGTAGCAATTCTTGAAATATAATATGAAAAACAAAAGAGAAAATTCAATCCATGCCAATGCATCTTTTAATAAAAAAAAAAAATAAAAATTTAAAACACACACACTCAAGATTAGACCAATCTGAATTTTATAAAAGACCTTCAAAAACATGATAAGAAGTTAAAGAATAAAGCACTTTCCCGCATCCTGTAAAATTAAAGACTCCATGGTGTCTAAATTCCCCATAAATAATAGGCCATTAATATGTCCGTACAACGAATTAAAGTCTATATAGTCAGACAAAAGATGAACAAATATACATATCACCTGGCAATATTTATTCCTTCCAAATTTCATAAAAAAGGATTAGTTCACATCAATTCTGGAATGAGAATAGGAGTTCTCAAAGTAAAGTCGCAAGCAACATTAATCTAAAACACCAACTGAAAATCTAGTCCAATGACAACCATCTTCATTTTCCACATTTTACTTTAAAAAAGAAAAAAAAAAAAAAACCTTAAAAACACCGAAATATAGATAAAAAATCAAATACAGAAAATAACAGCCAATGCTCCGAGTCCCTGACAAACATAGAATACAAATTTTGGAAAGAGTTTCAATGACGAGACCATCAAATTTATCACGAGTTCAGATCAAATCAATCTTCTCATGGGCTTTAATCCGCAAAATCTAAATTAACTGCTCAGACTGTGCTTAACTCCAACTTAAGATTCATTTATTATTCACAGTTCACCCAGAATTACAACTTAAAACAGTGAATTAAATAGAGAAATGCAATTATATGAAATACCCAGAAGAAAAAAGGCAAATCGAAGTGTTATTCAAACACATAAAAGCCTAAATTTTTATAACAAATTCAGCTAAAATCAATATTCTCAGAGGCTTTAATCCGCAAATTCTAAATTAACTGCTCAGACCGTACTTAACACCATCTTCAGGTTTCATTAATATTCACAATTCACCCAGAATTACAACTCAAAACAGTGAATTACATATACAAAATGCAATTCTATCAAATACACAGTAGAAAAAAGCAAATCAGAAGTCGGAAAAACATATTACCAAAGTGATTCAAACACATAAAAAGAGTAAAAAGCCCATGTTGGAGAGACTTACACAAATGTTGAAATATTGAAGTCTGAAATCAAAGAGAGACTCAGATCTGCAAAACCCAGAACCAGATTGATCTTCGGTTGCTCCCAAATTTATAGAAAGAAAAAGAAGACTGCAAATCTACACAAAACCAATTCCCAATAAAGCATTAACGTGACGAAAATAATAAAGAATTAGATAAAAAAAATAAAATGTACGTAATGTGGAAAAATGCATTTGTCTCTGTATATTGATTACGAACCGAATGAAAAAGATGGTCATCGAAAAGGAATGGAGCAAAAGAACTGACTAGGATCGTTATCCAATACCTGTTCTCTCATGGCCCACAAGTGAAGATCAACTCAACAAATCGAAAATTCAACAACTGGGTTTTTTCAAATTCGATGTTGCTTGAAAAAGCCCCCCAAGAGTTGAATAAATTGGTGTAGAAAACTTTTTTATTTTTTTATTTAATTGAACTGACACTGTAGAAGTGAAAAGGTAAAGAAGAAGGAATTAGAGCGATGTTGGGTAAAATTGAGAACTTGAGAAGGACACGTGTCGGTTTTGCTACGTAAATGGCAATCATGGATTCTTTATTGTGGTAAAGCCTTGGGGTTTAAGCTCCAAGGTCACAAGTTCAATTTCCTTCTTGGGCCAATCTTCTGGGCGAAGCACTGTTGGTTAGGAGGTTGGACCTCAAGGATACCTAATCAGCTACCTGGTGTGGGTTTAATGCTCCCCCGCTGTGCGAGTCCTGACTTAATCGGAGCTTGCATTGGGAGGTCGGGACAAGCTTCCAGGTTATAGTCTCCTACTCGGAACGGACAACAAGACACCTTGGTGATCTCCTCATGGGGCGCTGCCTTGGACCTGCGGGAGGGTGGGAGGATTTCCCTGTAACAAAAAAAAAAAAAAAGGTTTGTCTCGTCCAAACAAACATTAAGGCCAAGTCTGAGAAGACTAAATAAGTACACTTTTTAACTTTTTATGAAATATGGGTTGGATTTGAGTTGGGTTTTAAGTGATGTGTTAGAGAGATGATGTGACTTAAATAAGATGATGTGATTTAAATAAGATAGTGACTTTTTGATTTTTTGAATTTTTTGGAGGATGCCAAACTTGGCCTAAGGATTGGTTTGGAATGATGCACTTTTTTATTTTTTATAAATATGAATTGAGTATGGGTTGAGTTTGAAGTGATGTGTTAGAGAGGTGATATTACTTAAATAAAATGATATAACTTAAATATGATAGTGACTTTTTAACTTTTTTAGATCATACCAAACAAAGCCTAATAATAACTCTTGTGTGGATAAATTTAGCACTGAATCAGTGTTCAAAATAGCAGTGCTACGTAGCTCGAAAGCTACGTAGCTCGAATCCCCCTAATAAAAAACGACATTGTTTTTGCTCTTTTATTATTTTTTTTTTTTGCAGATCAGAAGAACGAACGAAGAAGAAGAATGAAGAAGGAAGAAAGGAGGAGGAGGAGGAGGAGGAGGAGGAGGAGGGACTGGAGGGGGCATAATATTCGGGGGAGGAGGAGGCGGAGGCGGGGCGACGGCAGTCGGAGGCTGCGACGAGTTGTGGTAGGGCTGCGACGTCGGAGCTGTTGCGACGGAGGCACAGGAGGGGACGATCGGCGGCGGAGCTGCTTCTCTCCTCTCCTCTCTCTTTCTCCCTCTCTCCTCCTCTCCTCTTTCTCTCTTCTCTTTCTCTCACTCTTCCTCTTCCTCTGCAGACTGAAAATGGAAGAAAAAAAAAGAAAAAAAAAAAAAGAGTCAAATTCCCAAAACGACGTCGTTTTGGGCATTAGGGGGATTAGGGGGGAAGGATTTTCATGCTCTCAAACATTATTCGTGTTCAAAATTGCTAGCAATAATGTCTGTTCAAATGAGTTAATAGTGTAAGACAAATAAATAAATAAATAAAGGTTAAATTATTATATTACTATGTTATTAGTGGTTAATTAATAGTCTGAAATATTTTTCTAAGGGGTGGTATAGGATGTTTTAAATAAGTGTATTTTTTAATTTTTTATAAAAAAAATCTAAAAAAAATAAAGAGAATATGTTGATTGATATGATCTAAAAAATAAAAAGATAAAAAGATGGATTTTTTAGATTATGTCAAACAAAGCTTAAATCTAGATAAAGAATTTAAGTAGATATCTAATGATTGATTGGGATATGTATATATTTTTTTAAAGTTTTTTTTATGTTTTTTATTCTTTAAAGGGCTATTAGAAGAAATTATTGTTTATTTGTAAAAAAGTTAATATAATATTTAATTTTTTCAACGGATAATAAGAGTTTGTTTGGTGGGGGTGTAAATTTGGCTTGGTCCAGTCCGGCTAGGCTTATGTCAGGTCTCGCGGGCTCTCGCTAAAATTCAGGCTGAGCGGCCTAGGCTCAGGCCCGGGGGTATTTAGGCCTTGGGCAGGCCAGTGGGCAGGCCAGTGGGCTTAGGCTTGGGCTTGGGCTCGGGTTTGGGGCAAGCTTGGGCGGGCCTGAACAAATTATTTTATTATTTTTTTATTTTTTCTACCAAAATTTTATTATTTTCCACTAAAAAAAATTAGCCCTCAAGCGGGTCGGGCCTTTAGTGGGTTTTGAGCGGACCGATGGACCTAGCCCACGGGCCAAGTCGGGCTTCAAAATGATGGCACTAGTCTAATGTCTCGCCCTAGGCTTGGGCCTAGGCCCAAACGGGCCTAAACTGGCCGGGCCGCTCATATGTCGCAGGTCATTTTTACATTCCTATTGTTTGGCATGTGTCAAAATAACATATACTATTTTAACATATTATCTTATGTGGTCACATTATCTCTCTACCACATCGCTGTCAATCTCAACCCATATATGGTATTTTTCTATAAAAAGTTAAAAAAATATACTAATTTAACACTTTCTAAACAATTTCTAAAACCGTTTAGTAACTTTTAACTTTTTTTAATAGAAAATGCTATGAATTCCAAATAATTTACTAAATTTTTTACAAAACTTCTTAGATAGGCGTGGGACCTATACAAATCCACATGTGAGTGAGTCTCACACCCATGTGAGAGGTTTGGTAGAAAATTTGTTAGATTATTTGGAGTCTCTAGCATAACTCTTTTTTAATCTAAACGCTAAGGACATGTTTGTTTTGCTGACTATGGGGCAGAATTGGACTATTAGTGAGAGGGTAATTTATACTTATAAATTGGGCCGAGCTGGGTAATAGGCTGTTATGGGCCACATTGCGAAGGGCTGAGTAAAAAGGCCATGAAGTTACTCCGGCCTAAGAGAGGTGTAAAGTTACTCCGGCCCAAGAAAGGTGTAAAGTTACTCCGGCCCAAGAGAGGTGTAAAGTTACTCCAGTCCGCGAGAGACTTGAAGTTACTCTGGTTCCAAAGAGCTTATGGTAAGTTTGGTCGTCACTCACAAAGTTATCCCGGTTTGGACCGGAGTATTGGTTATTCTGGTCTAGACATACTGTGGTTAGCATTAAGAAGAGCCAAGGTAAGAGCAGTGAATGGAAGTGTCGAGCTAATGTTATCTCGGTCTAGTTTACGGCTTAGCATAGCTATGCTTACCTCGGTCGTGTTGAAGTCTGACCATGGTAGAACCATCTCGCTTGGTTTATGTAGTGAGGGGGGGTGTTGAAGGATAAGCATTATCTTTCAGGAGTATGAATCCTAGGAGGACTCTACATGGAGGAGTAAAAGTCCTACTAGGATTGTGCCACGCGGAACCTATAAAAGCTTACAACATCACTTATGGAGAGGTAATGCACAACTTTGATACACAGAGCTTTTTGTCTTTGTCTATTTTGCTGACTTAGGCATCGGAGAGGTATCCGGTACACACCCGCCGGCTAGCTCACGTTTGTGTTTTCAGGGAGTAAAATGATAACGTTTGGAGGAGCACAGACTTGATCAACAGGATTATACGAGAAGGTTTATTTCTTTCCCGTGCAATTGGCGCCGTCTGTGGGAACAACAGACAGAACAAAACCTTTTGATCAAGTTTCCCTCGCTACTTGGATGGTGCACAACGAAGATTTGCCACAGTCCGCCATTGATGGGCAAACACCAGAAGGAGGTGGGAGGTGCGAAGGTTTGCCTCCTGTCCCTCCCATGGCGGACTTGGAGCCCCAACGACATAACCCCAGGAGGGATGCTAGGGGGAGGCGGAATAACAGCCCCCGTCGCCCTCATTCACAAAGTCCTGACAGACAAAGGCGGAGGATTGATCCTCAAGTTTTGGAGGACCGTGTAAAGGAACAGGACGAATTAATACGACGGATGGCGGCGGACATGGAGATTATGAAACGCCAGATGAAGGGAAAAGGAGTGGCGACAGGAGAGGGGCGCAAAAGCAAGACACCCCTTCGCCGCTCAGAAGACCGTGGAAGGCATTCCACACCATCACAAGCAGAGAGTAGAAGCCTCAGGACAGGCGATACTCAATCCAGAACCTCCAGAACTCGTTACTCCAGGTCTGAGAGAACGAGATCATCGAGGTCTCACACTGAGGGAAGTACCTATCGACCCTCGCGCTCGCACCAGACATCATCCAGGCAGACGAAGTTGCCAAGATCATCCGATTTGCGGAACATGCTGGAAGAAAAGGCACGATGGAAGGAGGATACTAGGGTGCGAGGGTATCTGCCCTTAAGAGGTTGGCTTCTCGGACGCATGGAAGCGTCGAGGTCGGAATACCGTTGCCACGCCCTACCTACGAACCAACGGACAGAGCATTAGCAAGGCTACAGACCTCACCGTTCGTTCCGGCAATTGAAAACGCGCCCCTACCTTCAGGTTTTCTTCAGCCCAAATTCACCACGTACGAGGGGAAGACGGACCCCTACATACACCTAAGCCACTTCCGCCAGGTTATGGCGGTATATCAGCGAAACGAGGCTTTAATGTGCATCCTCTTCCCATCAAGCCTTGGCGACCTAGGCTTGACTTGGTTCGAAAAACTTCCAGAAGGCAGCATAGCCTCCTGGGCACAATTGGCAGAGGAGTTCGTCACAAGGTTCAGAACGAACACCAAAATCCTGGTGGAGATTAACCAGCTACTCTCTATCGACATGGGTGAAAAGGAGACACTAAGATCCTACAATAGTCGCTACTGGGAAACATTCAACCAGATTGGGGACTGTCCCACCAATCTCGCCATCGCACAATACAAAAGAGGCCTTCCAGTCGGAAACAGACTAAGGGACTTAATCACCATGACACCGCC